CACTGGATTGTGTTTGTTATTGAAAGGGTAGAGCAAGGGAGAAGTGCCCCTAGGTTACTCTATATGAAGTGAATTGCTGGTCACTCTGTACGTGGAATATTAGAAAAACCTTCTCCAGTCTGTCCCCCCCACTTTTCTTGAGTGATTTCTTTTTCATATAAAGACCTTTTATGTTTTAAACAGGCCACCTACCTGTTTGAAACCCTCCCATGGAGTTCTCAGTATGAACTTATAATTTCACTGTCATACCCCTCACACACACACACAGATTGACAGAAATAAATGTAGCCATGTGTATCCACGCATGTAAGTATATGTACGTATATTTCCTAGTCCACTGAGAACAATGACAGCTCAGTCGCAAGGAGCACACCTGGCACCTAGATGATGATTTCTAAATACCTTTCTCCAGTAAAAGCCAGGGCTCCTCAGGCAAAAAGTTATTTCCAGGGCTTAGGCAGGAAAAATATATATTGAACCTGGAACATTGTGTGGTGCCAGAAAATAAAGAAGTGCTCAGAAAAATGATGCAATTCGAAAGGACATAGGAGCCATCCTTTGGCCCCATGGCCAAAGCTGGGGCAGTATGGGCAGCAACATAAATAAAGACAGAATTGGGTTGTAATCCATAGAATAAATGTTGATGACCCTGTACTAATATAAATAAACATTTAAATACATAAATAAGTGGGTGAATAGAAACAGCTCTTCCTTATAGTGAAATTCTAGTTAATAAATGTAGAAGGAATGTAGGAAATAGAAAATCACTATTAAAGCATCATAATGTAATTTTTACAGGTAAGAAACTTCTGCTGTACTTGTCAGGGTTCTCCAGAGAAACAGAACCAACAGGATATGTGTGCATGTATATATCTATAGCCTACTAGTTGTGTTTCCATATGTGTGTGTATATACATGTGGACAAATATACACACACATATGTAACATTTTTTAGGGAATTGGCTCATAAAATGGTGGAGGCTGGCAAGTCTGAAATCTGAAGGACAGACAAGTTGAAAACTCAAGGAAAAGCTGATGCTGCAGTCTTAGGCAAAATTTCTTCTTCCTTTGGGAAGCCTATTTTTGCTTTTAAGGTCTTTCAACTGATTAGGTGAGGCCCATGCACATTATCAAGAATAGTCTCCTTTAAGTCAATTGATTGTGGGGTGGAATGTATAGCTCAGTGGTAGAGCATACACAAGGTCCTGGGTTCAGTCCCCAGTACCTCCGTTAAAAAACAAATAAGAGATAAAAATAACCTAAATTACCTAAAGTCAGTTGGTTGTGAATGTTAGCCACATCTACAGACATTTAGATTGGCATTTGATTGACTAACCATAGCCTACCCAAGCTGACATGTAAAATTAACCATCACAGATGCTAAGACTAGTAGGTCAAAGTATGATGAGAAACAGGATATTTGTATAGTCTTGAGATATCTTTATTAATTACAAAGAGAGTTCTTAGCACAGAAATTAAGCTGATACCATCTTGGCCAAGTGAGCAAAATAAACATCACCACTAATAAGACATATTGCCATCATGTATCCTCTGATATGTTGTGCTGAGAAGGGCAGAGCATCACTTCTTGCAAAATCGTAAGTTCTTAATCTAATTATGGGAAAACAGACAAATTCAAATTGAGGTACATTTTACAAAATAATTGACTAGTACTCTTCAAAAATGTCAGGGTCACACAAGAAAAAAGAAAGATTGTAAATTACGGGAGACTAAGGAAATGTGACGACTAAATGAAATGTGAGGTCTTGGACTACATCCTGGAACAGAAACAGGACATTAGTGAGAAAACTGGCAAAATTCAAAGAAGGGCTATAGATTAATTACTGACGTTGTACCAATGTTAATTTCTTAGTTTCAACCATTGTATTATTTTTAATTTTTTAAAAAAATTTATACAATTTTAAAAGATTATTTTCCATTTACAGTGATTACAAAATATTGGGTATATCCCCTGTGTTGTACAGTACATCTCTGAGTCTGTCTTATACCCAGTAGTTTGTGCCTCCCACTCCTGCCCCCTTATTGCCCTTCTACTCCCTCTAATTTATTCTTTATATCAGTGAGTCTGCTTCTTTTTTGTTATATTCACTAGTTTGTTGTATTTTTCAGATTCCACATATAAGTGATAACATGCAGTATTTGTCTGGCTTATTTCACTTAACATAATGCTCTCCAAATCCATCCATGTTGCTGCAAATGGCAAATTTTCATTCTTTTTTATGGCTGCGTAGCATTCCATTGAATAAATATCTATATATATATTTACACTATCTTCCTTATCCATTCATCTGTTGATGGACACTTAGGTTGCTTCCATATCTTGGTAAATGTAAATAATGCTGCTGTGGACATTGGGGTGCATGTATCTTTTTGAATTAGTGTTTTTGTTTTTTTAGATATATACCCAGGAGTGGAATTGCTGTGTTATATGGTAGTTCTATTTTTAGTTTTTTGAGAACCCTCCATACTGTTTTCCACAGTGGCTACACCAACTTGTTTTCATACCAACAGCATACAAGGTTCCCTTTT